TGAACAAATGCAACAACAGAGAAAATGAAAAGCATGGCATTCAATTTCAAACAAGCTGAGAGAGGAGGTTTGAATAACATGAATGTGCAGCTAGAAGGAAATCAAAATGAACTATACCGAAAGAGTGTGCCAACAGTAATGCACGCTGCACAAATGCAATTGATGTGATGACCAAGCATTGTGTGTCAGACCAGCAAACTTGTAAAAATGTTGTCTATAAGTCCATTAATTAATCCCTTATACCTCCATATATCATAGTACTACACAACATGAATGATTGAAACACACCAGTACCCAGAGTTCACACCAATAGGCAAGTCTTAGGAATTAACCCAAATCCCCCCCCCCCCAGGCGACCCAACAAGCAGCTCCACTCTGCAGCACCACAGCTAATTTGTGCGATCCCCAGAAGGAACAGAAACAAACTGATCAAACCAGCATAAATTTCATAACCTACACTACTAGCTAAATGCACTCAACCACGATTCTGACATGTTCATAACAAGCTACTCGGCTCGCTGCCTTAACAAACCCGCGAGACCAACCAAAATTTTCGGATCATCAAAGCACGCGACCCCCAAAAAACTAGCACGGAAGACGAGCGGCCGAGATCGAGATCTCGCCGATCTCCCCCCACATACCTCGGCCTCGTCGACGCGCTTCCAGCTCCTGGGCTCGTCGTCGTCGAAATCCCCATCATCCCTCGACGCGGCCCGCCGTGCCCCGGCGCGGCCGCCGCCGCGGGGGGGCGGGGGGCCACGGTCACGGGAGGAGGGGGCGCCATCCTCATCCCCGGAGGAAATGGACAGCATCTCGACCTCGGAGTCGTCGTCGTCGTCGTCGCCGCCTCCGCGGCTGGGCTGCCTCGCCTTGGCGGGGCCCCCTCCGCCGCGTCCTCCTCCGCCGCCGCCGCGGGAGGAGTTGGCAGGGGGGCGGACGAGGTTGACGACGGGCTTCCCGGCCCCCGCGGGGCGCTGGTGGCTGAGGTCACGCGCCGCCTGCTCCTGCAGCGCCATCTGGAGGAGCTCGTCCTCGTCGACGTCGCTGTCGCTCGCCATGTCCGGATCTGGGACGAGGCGACGAGGGGGGTGGGGAGAGAGTGATGAGAGGGGAGAGAGAGGGAGAGAGAGGCGAGGAGGTGGAGGAGGAGAGATTTCGCTACGGAGTTTTGGGTTTTCTACTTTTCTATATGCAGGTGCAGCTGCACGGAACGGGGGACCGAACGGCGGTTGGATCTGCGGAGCATTCCGTGCTCGCGCTCTCTGTCTCTCGGTCTCTCGTGTGCGGCTGCGTGGTTGTCTGGCCTGTTTAGATTTCGTTTCGTTTCTTGGCCTGTTTTACCGGCAGCCGTGGCGTACTCTAGCGCGAGTTCGGTTCGGCAGGGGCAAACGGCGAAAACGCGCATGTGAACATTGGTGATTTTACGGATCAGCAGTTTTGCTGACCGAGCATCGGAGACCTTTGCGTACCGGTCCGCGTGTGGCTGGTGGTTTGCTTACCAGACTCGTCTTTTCGTTCAGAAAGAAAAAAAAAAGTATGATTTACTTCTCAACTATCACGGCCGCCGATCGAATTATCCCCCTAAATCATAAAACCAAATATTTTATACCCTCAAGTATTTATACCGGACAAATAACCTCCCTAAACACTGTTCTTAGCAGTTTAGACTTGAGCTTATACATATGGTGCCAACATGGCAATCTAGTCAGCAAAGAAAATAAAAAAAATTCCCTGGGACCACATGTCATACATATTCCTCAACCAAATCCCTCCAAGTCCCCCTTCGCGCTCTCTCTCTCTCTCTCGCGCGCGCGCTCAGGTGACCGGAGGCGGAAGTATCTCTCGCTCAGGTGGCCGGCGGCGGAGGCGGACCTAGCGGTGGCCGGCGGCGGAGGCGGACCTAGCAGGGGTGGGTGGCGGCGGCAAAGCGAGCTCGAGTGGCCAGCGGTGGAGGCGGAGGAGGAGCGAGCTCGGGAGGCTGCCAATGGCGGCGAAGCGAGCTCAGGTGGGCACGGTAGATATGCTACTTTGACCAACGATGTTTATAAAAGTAAGATGTTTTAAATAAAAAGAGTTGCATATTCTGATAGTTTGTTTAGGGTGTGTTTGGATAATGGAAAATGAGGAGTGGAATCGGGATTGGGAAATGAATGAAGGGTTAGGATTAAATGGGAGAGGGGGAATGGATGGTTAGGATTTAAATATGTCTTTTGGTGGGTGGAAAATTATTTCTCTATCCTATTAGCCAAACATTGCCTTAATGATAAATCTAGTAACATCAATTTTACATGATTAATCTTTTTTATATTTTTACTATTAATAGTCAAGGTTACTAATATTTGACTTTGACACTATGCTAAAAATATTTATATTTTGGGACGGAGGGAGTAGTTGATTTTAGGGGGTTTTTTCACCGAAGTTTATTTTTCAACCTTTACTTTTATATCGTTAAGAACACGTATATAAAAGTTTTATTCATAAATTATTTTTGTTTACAAAATAAAATGGATAAGCCAAATGATGGGGATTCATGTGTGTGATTTAGAGGGATATCCCTCAGCAATAGAAGATGGCTATCCAAATTTTAAGTATGTTTGATTGATGGATAAGGGTGAATGGAGTGGCCAGATAAGGAGTATTCAATGAAGATGGTGGATAACCTTATCTGATAAAATTGGTATCCACTTTTGCTAATTTTGATCATTAATATTGGATAGAAAAAAATGATGTGTGTTGCTCTGAGAAAAATTAAAATTAGGATAAACATCGTATGATTAAATTGGTAAAGCATTTGTTGGTCTACGATCTGAAATGCGGGTGTATCCAAAATAATTAGAGCTTTTGTTTGGCGCCTTGCGCAAGATAGTCTTCCCATCTAGGTTAACAAAGCTCAACATTAGCTACTACTACCTCTATCCCAGAAAGACTGCAGTTTCACACTGTTTGTGTCCAGTGTATAACCGTCTGTCTTATTTGAAAAAGTTTTATGATTATTATTTTTGTTGTTATTAGATGATAAAACATGAATAGTATTTTATGTGTGACTAGCATTTTTAATTTTTTTTCATAAATTTTTCAAATAAGATGCACGGTCAAACGTTGGACACAGAAATCCACAGCTGCACTTAAATGGAATGGGGGTAGTAATATATAGCATTTGTGTTGTTTTGTATGTTTAGCTGCACTTAAATGGGATGGGGTAGTAATATATAGCCTTTGTATTGTTTTGTATATTGAACATGAATGTAGCTATTATGCAGTAGTACAATGTGCAAAGGTGATAGCTTTATATGTCTTGAGTAATGGCTTATCAATTATCATAGAGACAAGTGAGTTTTACTCTCTATGTCCCAATATGAGTGCATTCTGGTACAATGTGTGACATATCCTAGTACTATGGATCTATGCCTATATATCCAGATTCATAATACTAGGATATGTCACATCCTGGACTAGAATACATTTGTACTAGGACGTCGTCTATCTAGATTCGTAATACTATGATATGTTACATCTTGTACTATAATGCACTTATATTGGAATGGATGGAGTATTTACTTTAGACCTGATTGGTTACTTGTATTGCTTAATTCAATTCCGTCTTAGTTGACAATATAAATTATCTTGCTGCTTTGAAGAGATGGTTCTTGCAAAATGGTGCAGTACACAATAAATGAGAGAGAATGGTTGTTAGATCTCTTATGTCTCTACTAAGTTATTGCGATATACTTTAATAGGCGACGATTTCTAACATAGAAAAAAAAACTATGACGATTATGAATCAATATAACATAATGCCTTGTGCAGATAGGACACAGTTTGGACTTCCTTAAATTCAATGGTACAATCAAACACTATTGGATCTTGACCTAACCTTGCATAGTTGGATCTTCATTATTTCCAAAACATTCACTTTGGTCTTGATTTCCTGTTTACTTTTGTTTGCCAAAACATGAGGATACCATTAAGATCGTTGTAAGACACACTTTTATCGTAAAAAACCTACATATCAACTAAAGAGATTAACTAGATTCATAATAGGTGTATGTTCTCACATTCTTGTTCGATAGTGCTCCTCACGCTCGGGGATCACTCATCCATCTTGTCTTTTGATTCATCTATGGTATCCTTTAATATCACTCACTTACTTAGAATTTAACGTCATTAAGTAGGAAAATAATATTACCCGTCCTAATTTATAGGCATGTAAAAAATTTATTAGGGAGATGATATGGAAGGAAGTTTCTGGATGATATTCCCGTAAATAAATGCACGATGCATGCATAAGATTAATTGCGGTGATTGATGCGCGTATTATGCATGGAGACGGTACGTCGTTCTAAATAATTCCATGCACCCACGTTAGGGGCTTGCATACATGTGTATGGAAGGGGTTAATGAAGTGTCACACGCACATACGAAATGTTAGGGCGCACGTGTATGAATGCCGATGAAGTGAATAATCACGTAATCACTATATGAAGACACGCCTCGTATTATGGGACAATGTTTTTGTGAGAGGGACTAAAGTTTAGTCCCTAGTTTCCAAACACCTCCTGAATAGAACTGCACTTACAAAATCCTATAAATTTCTTTGTTCCAAATTAGTTTTAATGTTGGTGTGTGTTGTTCTTAAAATCTATCCTCTCTTCAAAAGAATCTGGACTAGACTATGTTTAGATTAATATAGTTAAAACTTAAAAGTTGATCTTCAGTCTTCCTCGACTGAAGGAGCAGTCCTAAACCGAATCAGAATGCGACCTGTCGCAACACGAACATCGTATTCGCATCCAACGGCATCGTGCGCAAATCAGACCTGAAGACGGATCCAGATTGTCCAAAACCCCCCAAAGCAAGAAAAGAAAACGTCCGGAACGTCCAACCGGCCACCCCACGGCCTACCACCCCCAGTCAATGACAAGTGGGCCAGACTCAAACCCGTCCCCACAAGTCATCGACTACTATGACGGCATCCTACCGCCGGCGTCCACGCGCGGCAGATCAATCCCCCCCATCACCAGCAGGCAGCAGCACTGCAGCAGCAGCCGCGCCGCAGCCGAACGCATCTCTGACACCCCAGAGACCCCGCGCCGCCGCGACGCCGCCCCTACAAATACGCCGCCACCTCCCGGATCCCGATGCGACAGGCCCGAATCCCGAGACCTTCTCCACCTCGCGTCGGCTGCGGTAATCTTCTTCGCCTCTGACAGAGAGAGCGCCAAGCCAAACCCCCCGCGCGCGTGCTAGGGTTTGGGAGGAGCCCCCCCCGGATCGATCCTGGATGGGGGATCGGGGGGAGGAGGAGGAGGAGGAGCTGCCGATGTTGCTCCCGATGAGCCTCCAGGGCTCGCCGCCGGCGCAGCAGGCCGAGCCGAAGCGGAGCAAGCCGCCCCCGCCGCCCGCCGAGGAGGGGGTGGCGGCGGCGGACGCGGAGGGGGAGGCGCGCCGCAAGCAGCGCGAGCTCAGGGCGGCCGCCGCCGATAAGCGGCTCCGCGCGGTCGCCCCCTCCCCCGCCGCGGCGGCTCCGCGGCCGCCGGCCCCGGAGGTGGTCGCCAGGGAGGTGGAGGTGGAGGTGAAGGCGGACCCGGGGCCATCGGGGGTATCTATGGAGGAGGCGAAGGCGGAGGAGGTGGAGGAGGAGAAAGGGGAGCGGTTGCCTACGGACGTGGCCGAGAAGCTGTGGCTAATGGTGTTCGGCAACAAGCTTGAGAAGGAGGTGTTGGCGCAGTGGAGCAATCAGGGCATCAGGTGAGCTCTTCTTCCTTGCGTTCTCTACTGTCTCTTTCTTTCATTTTGTTTGAACGGCTATTACAGGAGATCTGTTATCTTTTCGATATATTAGGGGAAGAAAGGGTCCGGTTATAGAAATTCAAAGTTGAGAGATGTAACAAAATGATCAAATCCTAGTGCTTTAGGAACGTAAGGAAAAAAAAAACCCGAATAAGGTCTACTAAGCTTGCAGTTCTCAGGGTCCAAGAGTACCTCTTCCTTCATTATTTGAAGAAGGGGTGTTGGGGATACTCTGTACTAATATGCGTGTAGATGTATGCAAGATGTGGCTTTTATAGTGAGCAGCTGATCCGAGGTTGCGGTTGCACAGTCACAGCACAGCTCTACTGCTGGTTACTATAGCTGCAGCTGCAGCTGCGGCCAGCTGAAACGACTATCAGCCTGCGAGATGCTTAGCATTTTGTTATCTGGTCGTAAGATTGTATACATATCAACATATTTCTGTTTCAGTGGTGTTGTCAATCGACCACAGGAGTGTATATTACTTGGATGCTTTCTATTTCTGATGATGAGTATAAGGATGGACGTCTGGAAATGACCATTAGGATGTTACCCTGAATCCTTCAGGATCTGGTGCAACTCTAGGTTTTAGTTTGCATGAACAGTTGTTTATGTGTGTGTTAGACGCTGTTGATTCAAGGTTATATTTATGTTAGAGGTTCAGACTGAGATTGTAGGGTAGGAAATAAGAGCTATTTGTGGTGCTTGTGGTTTGTCAGATTGGCAACTAGGCTTAGCTTCACTCAAGAGTATCGTCTATGGCGGGCAGTTAATAAATATTCCATGCGCGGGAAATATAAAAGCACTCAATTTTTCTATTTTGGTCACAAAATAGATGGCTTGGTAAAAGCTTAATGAGTTCTTTTTTCACTGGCCGAAATTATTATTCATGAATACTGACCATGCGTGGCAGTAGCAGCATTTTACTGATGAGATTAGATCGAGTTATTTATTTCCTTTATTGTTAGAGATTAGACCAGATCAGCTTCTTGAAGGTCAAGTTATCCCATGTATATAAGGATGGGGATTGTATTTCTACGTAGCAACCAAAAATCTATAGACAAATCCCAACCCCTATACTTCCGACGTGGTCTCTCCTATGACATATTCTAGATCTATTCCTCCTTCACCTACTGCAGTTCACGTCAAGTTGTCTCCATCCAGCCTCCCTCTGATGGATGTCTACCCTTACGATGCATCATTACCCCTATTATTCTTTCTCCATAATATTTATTACTAAACTACACAAGTTGACCCCTCCTTGCTTTTCCGAGGCAGTTATAAAGGGTAATACAGCTGTTTTCTTGTGTCGTTTTCTCACCTGCTTAATTGATATGAATGGTTAAAACACACCATAAATCGGGTTTGAAGAATGGTCATAGTAGCTGGTGTAAACTTTTTTCCTTTTGCGGGGTTCTCAATGTTTGTAAACTGTAAAGGCTGAAAATTCATTCTTATTTTTTCTTTGTAGTCAACTATTGCTGCCATACATAGGCTGTTGGTGTTTTTGTTTGTGCTTTCAGCTGATGATTTGAAGTTGTTGATCTGGTTCATACCAATATCAGAATTGGATGTTAAATGAGACCATGTGTTTTCTTTGCAGTTACGGACAATGTACATGTAATACTAAGTTCAGGCTTTAAAGGATAGCTCTTGTTCCGTAGTATTTGTGAAAACAAGAGCTGATAGGTGTTACAAATTTTACTATCATCCATATATGCGTTGTTAATGGGTTGATTTGAGGCATCTGAAAGTAGGACTGTTGTGGTATTGAACATATCTGTATGCATTTTTTTTATGTGTAGAAGTTTTTTTTGTAGCACAATTACACAACGAATCCCTGTGCCTTTGGTAGAATGCTGTCTGTGTCCACCTGTTTAGAATGGTGCTAACTACTGATGGGATGAAGTGTGATATTTTCAGCCCTACATAATCCACATAAGGAACACGAGAAGCAGCTCTTAGTTAATTTAATCTGTCATTCTAGTCCCTGACTGGTTAGAGCTGTACAGCAATTGACTTTGCACGTTAGATGAGAACTACTACAGCACATTTTAATTTAGATGCAAACAGTTGCTTGGATATGGTACAGTGTTAATCATATCATGCCTTTTGTTGCACAATTCAATGCTATGCAATTAATCTGCTTTTGTTTAATTATTGTTAAATGAACAGATTTAGCTCTGATCCTGAAACAACCATGGGACTGGTACAGCATGAAGGTGGCCCTTGTGGTGTCCTAGCTACAGTACAGGTACCGCTCCCTTGCTTTACCTAAATAATGTGATTAATTAATTGTCCCTTTTGGACAGAAATGTTAATCTTTAGTTCCAGTCTTCTTCTGAACTCAGATTTCCATACTGACTTCATATTTATTGTTACTTCTTTCTCATGCTGTGACATGTTTTATCAGTTTATTTGTAGCACATAAGCTACTAAATGCATTTGAGAAACCCTTCTAATTGCTGCAACTAAATTTTAATACACCTGTTCTGTCAACACAAGCTACGTTTAGTGGACCTTTTTGGTTGGACTGCCTGTACATGATCCTCACAACTCAAACTGGACCTAAGCAACCTGTCTAGAACACTAGATACCAATGAAAGAAATTCAAAGTATCTTTGATGATTCAATGTACAAACAGATATATGTTAGTAGGAGATAGGCTGGACTTCTCTGCTGTTTCATTAGATTTAATAGAAAAATGCTATTTAAAGGTAAGTAGCTTTTTTAGATGTTTATTTTGTGTGGTCACCTTGACCTGATTTTAATTCTTTTTTCCTGATTTGTGACACTAGTGTATCGCTATCTGATAGACAGACACAAGATCAAACTATTTCTTCATTATTTATTTCTGTTTTCTGAAAGCTCAACATTTCTGATGGTGTGTTTCTTAATGCAGGCCTATGTTCTTAAATATCTTTTGTTTTTCTCTGATGAATTGGGTAATCCGGAGGTTAGTGATCCGTTTTATGCCCTGGGACAAAGGCGCTTTTATCAGAGCTCTTTTGCTGCGAGGGATGATTTTTCTTCTCTGACTGATGACAGAAAGATGAGGTGGTTTCTTTTGCTCCTTTTAGATAATACTGGTGTCAGCATTATCTTTTGATTATTTGTCCACTCAAGTTCATATTAGGGATTGACAATTTAAATTTTAGCCAAGAAAACATAGGCCCTTGTTTTACCAACAGAACTCTTTTACAAATGAATATTTAAATATTTATTGGAACAACATCAGTGTTTTATATATTATTATTGGAATCGTAAAATGCTTTTAGAACTATCATTTTCCTCTTTTCCTTTTGTTATATACTATTTCATTTATAATGTACAATCGATATTCTAAATGTGTCACGAAATATATTCATGGTGCAGAATATATACAGAGTAGTGCTTCCTTAATATTCTTTACATTAAAATGACTGCTATCAAATTCCTGTCATTTGTTAGAGCACTGGTTCATGCCATGCTGGAAATTCTATTTTTATGCGGAACGGGGAACAGAGCAGTTGTAGCAACCATTGGAAGTGTCAATGAAGCGGTAAGTGGACGTGTTGAAGATCAGGTGACTCGAGTTTTTTATACCTTCATCTTCGACATGCCAGTGATACTCTTATGAAACTTATTGCAGAAAACTGCTGCAGTCTTGGAAGGCCTTTCTGTTGACTCAGCTATGGATCTGCAGAAAGTTCTTAGAATAAGTACATTTACCTCAAGGAAGGATGCATTCAACAGTCTTATAGCAAACATTTCTTTGTTTGAAAGTCGATTAGGAGCCATGCTATTCCTTATATCTGCTCTTCTCTCTCGAGGATTGGTATGCCTTTGTTTATCCTTTAGTTCTCAACTTTTTATGCATTCTGTTAATCCATGTTCAATAAGTGAACACAACACTATTTAAATCTGTCAGAAATTTCATGTACATGCCCTGGCATAACCACCAATGACTTTTGCATGCTTTGATATTACAAAATCATACTACAGTTAAAATTATCAACATAGTAATATAATGACAGGGAAATATAGATTAGTTGATTGGTCTAGAATGTGGTAATGATAATGAGTGTTACATAGGTTAGCTTTTGGGTTAATTCAGTTAGGATCTTATGGACGGCTAGTTTAGTTCTGCCTTGTTATCTATGAAGGTAATTTAGTTATGCTTCCTACTTCTCATAAGAAAACAGTATTTTTTTTCTATGATTGCCATCAATTTGTTTCTTCCATTTGTTTTATTAATCGTCACTTCTTCCACTCATTGATGGTCATCTCAAAGCATCTCGATATTATCTTCATTTTCTTGCAATTTATACGTCTTTGTACACAGGAACGTATTCAAGCGGATAGGGATGATCCAAGCCTACCATTGGTCACTGCCCCATTTGGGCATGCTTCACAGGTATAGATGGCATTGACATGCAGATATTTATTTAGCAGAGTAGATAATACCGTGTCAGTTCACACTGCCACATACTCTTGCAATGTAGTGAAGTCACTTTGGTAACAGTTATATTGAGCCAACGTTTTCGACCCAAATGTGACTAGTGTGATTTTTGCAGGAAGTTGTGAATTTATTGCTATGTGGAGAGGCTGTGTCAAATGTATTTGATGGCAAGGTGGACTTTGGTGGTGGCATGTTCCTGAATGGGATACCAAATGATGTTGAAGTTGGTTTCCTTACCCTTCTGGAATCACTAAACTTCTGCAAGGTTGGTCAATACTTAAAGTGCCCGAAATGGCCAATATGGGTGGTAGGAAGTGAAAGTCACTACTCCGTCCTTTTTGCCCTAAATCCCAATGTTCAAGAAGAGAATGAGCTGGAAGAGCGGGAATCTAAAATAAGGAGGGCATTTGATGCACAAGATCAAAGTGGAGGTGGAGGCTTTATTAGCGTTGAGGGGTTCCAACAAGTTCTGAGGGACACTGACATAAATTTTCCTTCTGATAAGCTTGAGGACCTCTGTAATGCTGGCATTATAGTATGGAGTGAATTCTGGCAGGCGCTGCTACAATTGGATAAAAGGGCTGGAGGCATGAAGGATCCTACAGGCCTTATGGGCAAGAAGCAATTCACTATCTACCATTTCAATGGAATCGCGAAGTCCGTGCTTAATGGGAATGCTAACATTGGAGGTTCAACAATACAGAGACCCAGACTGTGCAAGTTAAATGTCAGTGTCCCGCCAAGGTGGACTCAAGATGAGTATCTAGCTGATGTTGTAAGCGCGTCCACCAGCGGGAGCAAGGATGACAGTGTTCTTTCACTTGCTCCACCTGTTCAAACTTCTCAGCATGCACCGTTGGTGGACTGCATTAGAACCCGATGGCCACGGGCAGTTTGTAGCTGGGTTGGAGATATGCCTAGTATTGTCTGATGCCATGCCGCGTGCTAGTCTGATTTTAAAGTGGCTATTGCAGAGCAGGCTGCTTGAGCTTCAAGGCCATGAGGGAAGGAAGCCGCGAAAGTGACAGCTGCTCCTGGACTCCTGGTGTTATCACTGTTCCAGCTGATGAATATATGATTTTTCTTGGTTGCGTGAATGATCCTTTGATGTAATTTTATCAGGGACCCGAACATTCTTTTTCCTATAATGACATTAGCTGTATACTCCATTTTATGAATATGTTTTCAGTTCAAGATACATTCTTTTTTGTACACACACACCTTGTGGTTCTATTTTAAATCTGATAGAGAGTTGGTGACTGAAGTTCGCTGTAGTTTTTTTTTTTTTAATTTCCTCTTTTGGGTTGAAACCCGAAGTCATGTGAATCAAGTGAATTAACTATAATCAAATGCCAGTTTTTGAGGGAAACATCACCGTCATGTTATTACGGTAATTTCTTCTCGTTGTTTCGTTCCTTTTTTTATTCTCTCAGCTGGAAAAATACTACTACTCCCTTTGTTCTTTTTTATGATGTTGTTTTAGTTTGTTTTTCTTATGATGTTTAGTTTGTTCGTCAAACATTTCAAAACGGAAGGAGTACTCTGCATTCATATGCTTCCTCTGTAGTTTGTGAGTATTCATGTACTTCCTATGTAGTTTGGGAACTTGCATTTTATTTTTGAGCAGTAGTGGAATAACAACTAATATGCCGTTTTTTTAATGTATAAACTAACCTGAAAAATATGGAATTACAGAAAATGAGTTTAATCAGTGAGAAAACAAAACTGGGTTCATAAATTAATTCGACCCATCCAGTACTCCCTCCAGTAAAAAATATTTCAGGTCAATGAATTTGATTCGAGGCAGTATCAGGCTATCAGCTTTCCTTGGTGCATTTTTTTAGACGATTTTTTTTCTCGTGGAAACAGCAGATGATTTTAGCGCCTTCTTTCTTCGAAAGCGTCATCTCCTGGTTGGCAGTGCACTTCCCCTCCTCTCCCGAAAGCTGTCTTGTTTGCACGAAAGCGTTACAGAGCTACGGCGGCGAGCACCGGCTCCAACCCCTCCCCCGTCGCCGCGCCCGCCGGCGATGAGCTCGCCGGCAGAGCCCCCTCCACCGGAGCACCCCCCTACTCCAGCTCCAGCGCCAGCGCCCGCTTCCCCGCCTCCACACCCCGCCGCCTCAGGCAATGAGGCCGCCGCCCCACCAAAACCTAACCCCCCAATCACACCCGCGCCTGCCCGGAATGCCTCCGCCGCGCCGCCATCCGGATCGCCGGCTACCGCCGCCGCCGCAGCCCCCGTGCCATCCCGAAAGGAATCCGGGTCTACATCCGCCGCCGCCCCCGCGGCGGCGACCCGGAAGGCCTCGGGGGTAGCCGCCGCCACCACCGGTGTGCTACCTCGGAAGCCCCCCGGGACCACTGCCCCCGTCGCCGCCCGGAACATCCCGGCGACCACCGCGGCGTCCCGGACCGCCACGAGGGCCACCACCACCACTACCGCCACCTCGGTGTCCCGAAGGCCCGCCGCCGCCGCCGCCGCAGTGGCCTCCCGAATTCCCTTGAGGGCAACTGATGCCACGACGACCCACGCGGCATCCCGAAATCCCTTGACGGGAGCCGCCGCCGCCACCGCCACCGTTGCCGCGGTGGGGAGGGGCGGATTCCGGGCCGCTCCTACACGCCCGGAGGAGTACACGCCGCGGATGGGGATGGAGTTCGAGAGCGAGCACGAGGCGTACGAGTTCTACCGCTACTACGGCTGGAAAGTAGGGTTCAACGTCCGGAAGGAGTACGCCAACAAGAGCAAGAAGACCGGCGAGATCACCTCCCGGAAGTTCGCCTGCTCCCGCGAGGGCTACAGGGCCAACGTCAAGCGGGGCAACCACATGGTGCCGATGCCGGACTCGAGGACCGGCTGCAACGCGCACCTCGTCATCCGCCGCAAGAAGCCCGGCGCCAAGCTGGAGGTTTACGCCTTCCAGCCGCGGCACAACCACCCGCTCTTCGCTACATCCTGCATGCCCAATCCTCTGCAGCCCAATGTCGTGCACTGGACGACATTGCCCGATGCCGTTACGCCGCCTGATCTTCTGATGGACGGGGGTGAGGTGGGAGGGCAGAATTCTACCGAAGAGAATAGTACCGCGAGTGCAGGGGAAGGGCGCCGGCAGCCGCTGCGAACCAGGAGGCAATGGGAGATGAAGTATGGAGAAGCTGGTGCTTTGTTAAATTATTTTCAAGACCAGTCTCTGGCTAACCCCTCGTTCTACCATTCCGTGCAGTTGGATGTCGAGGATAAGGTGGCAAATGTTTTCTGGGCCGATCCAAGGATGATTACTGACTACAGTCAGTTCGGTGATGTTATTGCATTTGATGTGGTGTCTAGGAACAGTATAAGCCTCCGTCATTTTGCCTCTTTTGTCGGTTGTAACAATTTTGGTGAGCCTATTGTTTTTGGGTTAGCGCTCATGTATGACGAGACTGCAGAGTCTTTCCAGTGGCTGTTTGAGACTTTCTTGCATGCAATGTCTGGACGAGCACCCAAAACTTTCTTTTCACATCAAGATGCGGTTGTAGCAAAGGCTGTCTCTATAGTGATGCCAGACACAACCCATGTTATATGTGCATGGCACCTAAAGCATGCTGCAACGAGGAACATAAATCAGCTTAAAAGTGACAGTGATTTCATGAAGGAGTTCAAGGCATGCATCAATTTGTATGAAGAGGAGACGGAATTTCTCACTTCTTGGGATGCTATGATCAATAAGCATAACCTTCATGATAATGTATGGTTGAAAAAGGTATTTGAAGAAAAAGAAAAATGGGCTAGACCTTATATGAGAGGGGTCTTTTCAGCTGGAATGAAAGGCACACGATTGAACGACCGCTTCCAGTCTGATGTGCGGGATCATTTGAGACCTGAGGTAAATATTCTTTTATTGTTGAGGCATCTTGAGACAGTTATTAATGATAGGCGGCGGAAAGAATTGGAGGTTGAGTATAGTTCAAGGCTAAAGTTGCTGTACTTTAAAATTAAAGCTCCTATCCTGACACAAGCTTTTGAGGCTTATACCAATACGATCTTTCCGCTTTTTCAAGAAGAATACGAAGAATTCCAGTCAGCTTACATTGTAAACCGTGATGAAAGTGGCCCTTGTCGTGAGTATGTCGTTTCAGTTGTTGAGAAAGAGAAGCGATATACAGTTTATGGAAACCCTACTGAGCAGACTGTTTCATGCTCATGTAAGAAGTTTGAAAGAAATGGTTTCTTGTGTAGCCACGCGCTGAAAATTTTAGATGCAATGGATATAAAATATCTACCAGACAGATATATTATGAAGCGCTGGACAAAATATGCTAGGACTTTGATGTCTGGAGATGTTCAAGGTCAAGCAATTCAAGCAGATAAATTATCAGAATCCTCCAGTCGCTATCAATACATGTGCCCAAAGTATGTTAGGCTTGTTGCTCGAGCATCAGAATGTGAGGAATCCTACAGAGTACTGGACCAATGTTGGGTAGATCTTAGCAACAAAGTTGAAGAAATCCTACAGAAACAAACTTGTGTCGATGCAACTCTGACCCAGACTGATGTTCAGAACCTTAAGGTTTCCTTACCTTCTATTACAAACGGCACTCAAGCAGAAAATATCATGGACAAATCAAGTGGCACAACAGCAAAAGAGTCAAAGAAGAAGGGGCAGAAAAATAAGATCCAATCAAGAAATTGCATTGAAAAAGGTTTACGAAAGAAGCAGAAGGTTCACTCAGAACAACCTTCAGAGTATGCTTTGTTAGGTGGTTCTCAATCTGGAAACATGTTTCAGGTATTTTTCGCCAATTTTTTGTTTAGTCAAATTGTAAGTCTGAATATGTTTTTCATTTCAAACTATGGATTCGTCTGTTGTCTGGGATTCTACCCATATCCCACATTTTTTGGCAGAGAACTTTGTTGGGAAAAGTTTATGTTTTGCATTTTTTAAGTTCGCTTGTTGTACAGTTGTGCTGAGGTACTATTTTATCTGATATAAAGTTGTTGTCTTCATCACTTCATGTTAAGCTGCAATGTTCCATGCATTGGTGTCGATAATCTAACTTACTAACAATTTTGCATTATGCTGTGCTGCATTTTTTTACTTAGTGCAACAAATAGTCATGGCATTTTTCAACATGCAGGCTTTCGAGGGTCCTCCTAACATGTCCCCACTGGGTACCCAAACTCCGACCTATAAAACCTACAGGGTATGAAGTTACATACAAATTGCTTCCCTACATATGATGTTCTTTTAGTGGTGTTGTATTGGAAGTTGTTTATTTCCTATTAATCCAGGGGATTGAGATAGTTGTTTATTTCCTTTTTAATCTAGGGGATTGATCTTTCAAGTCCGATGGGCCCAATTAGCTATGATGAAATGCCCTCTGGCTTAGATCCGACTTTCACGACGGTATTAAGAACTTTTGATTGAACCCATTCTAGCCTTTGAGTATTGGAAATAGTACTAACGTGATTGACACTTTTTCAGCATCTAGGTTTTGCAACCTATCACACTTCTCAGGTGTCAAGTAGCAGCCCACACAACCAGGTAAATGATCATAGGATATGTGTGGGTGCCCTTCTATCACTTCACATGTAAAGCTTGGGAAATTATTGAAAATTTGTTTTTGTTGTTTTCTTCAGCAACCTGATGAGAATTTCTGCACAAAAACATCTGAGTTGAACAATCTCCATTCTTCTCTGTAGGCCTTGTAGATATGAATGCCTCATTGCAAGGTGCTGTGCTTCTCTCTTTTGAGCACAGCACGGAACATGTAAGCTCCATCTTGGCGTCTTGTAGATTGGAGGCTCGAGATGATTAGATGTCATCCATCGACTATAGATGGCATGGACCAGCTAGAAATGGGCATATACATCATTGGTATGTAGCAGTTCAATTAGTACAAGTAGCTGTAGTTACTAGCTACTCTTTCTTTCTTGCAACTTGAGTTGATTATTTCTTATTGTAGTTGGCAGGTTGGTACTAAGAGCTGGATTACCTCTTTACCTTAGCCTGTATGAATGTATATATATATTCTCAGATGTACAACTTGTAGGCCATAAGATGGCGTCTGCCTTTTGTGCGCAGGAAATGCTTCAAGATGTAACCACAACTTAACTTATGTCATTCCCCCTAGTCTTTCTGTTTTTCATTACCCTAGGGAGGTCGACTTATGTACATGACTACTGGGGCTGTCTGGTTATCTGTAGAATCACTTTGGACAAGAGGAAAGGATGAATATTTAGTTATTTCATTGATTATAGTCGACGTTGCATATAAACTACCTAGTGTTTATCTATCAAACCCTAAAAAAGTAGGGTCAAATTGATAGTTAGGTTTTAAAACAGGGTCAAAAGCGCAATTGTCTCTATTGCTAAATATCCAAAGGTAGGTCAGTGTTCAGTATAACCTACAATGAGGTCTAGAGGTCTGGCAATATCTAGCAGTTCACCTAGAGGCTGGTATTCTGATAGCTTAGGATGTAACATTTCACCAGTGTACTCACAAAATTATGCATACCAAGGTTTTCATGTTTTGGACAAATGTGATCAAAATACCCTCTAATAACAGGCGCATTCCTAACTTACTAGTAAACAAATGGTGTCATATCAATTCCATCTTTCATTACTAATTGAAAGTAAAAAGATTGTAGCAATAATTCCGATTTTCACTGGCCTGTATGAATATGCTGCTGCACTTGGCAGAGTTGATGAAAAACCATTGCTAACTGTAAACATGCCTAACAATTTGATTGTTATTCCTTAATTGTGTTCTCCTACCTTTCCCCCTGTTGTACTGACTATTGGATCCATAAATTATGGTGTATCTCTCAAGTCTCACCTTGTCATGTAAAATAAGAAGGTGAAAAGACGGAACTGTGGCTGGGCAGTACACAGTCAGAGAAGGGTTTAACTGAATAATACATGACATTGTCCTGAATGGTCCAAGTCAGAATGCCATATCAAGCATGGAGCTAATCCAACTCAACTGGTTCTTACTATCAACTTGCCTTACCTGTTCACCAAGGTAACCTTTTGTTTAGCAGAGACAGTTCTATTCTTCTATTATGTTCTGTTGTTTACTCATCTTGGCACTTATGTTTCTCAGATCAATAACCAGTTCAGTTTTGATGGAAACTGATGCATGATACAGGTTGCCTCTGGCAGATGGAACAGCCTATGAATCACATTATCTGTGGCAGCAGTAGCAGCAGCAGCAGCAACTGTATATGAAGAAAGAGACAGAACGTGCTCGTCAATCATCAACCTTCAGTGATTCGGTACCCACTGAACAACATGCCATAACTTAAATTCCTTGCAATCCAGGTAGTTAGTGTTATGACTTATGAGTTACTCCAGCTTACAAAGTTCTTATGTTGTAGTTGTAAAATGTGCCTACCTTAAAAACAGGTTGCAGGCTAGCAGCCAGGCTTCTCCCTTTTGTTTGCCAGTGAACAATTTTGCCTTGTATATTTAGGCCATGTGTGCATAATATGAGTATAACTATCAGGATGCCACACATTTCCACCGTTAGGCTCAACTATCCACTCTCATCTGAATTGCCCGTGTCTCAAAAACATCTTAATTGGTAATATTTACAAGTGTATGTGGTACACTGATACCAGATCTTACATATCACAGACACCAAGTATCTTTTAAGAGATAATCCATATTGTAAGGCTAGCATAATATCCTTCTTGGGTACATAGATCTTAATTACATGTTACAATACTGAGTTTATATTTAATATAAGACATGATCTCCTAGAGATCTTACATGTTATGCCTAGTTTTCTTAAAAGGCAAGATGAATTATAATGTTCTGATAGACAACTGGAAATTGCAAATCAACATACAGATTTATAGTGAATAAAAATATTGTGGTGTCACTGGATGTGAGCCTCCTGTGATAGCATTTAGTAGTCTTGGCAATGGAGGCATGTCGAGTTCAAGTAGACCCTCAAGAGACTGTACCACCTCGCCCATTGTTGGTCGATCAAATTCGTTATCTTGAATACACCAGCATGCAATTTTGCAAGCTCTTTCAACCTCAACGAGGTTCACACTGCCTTCCAAACTGGCATCCACAAGACTTCCAACGTCTCCATCGAGAAGCTTGCGTGCAGCTTGCATGGGAAAAAAGAATGAATAATCACCATCCCTGAAATTTTCATGACTCGAGTTCCTCCTTCCTGATATGATCTCAAACAAAACCATCCCGTAGCTGTAAACATCTACTTTTGATGTAACAACTGTTCCACTAATCCATTCAGGAGCCAGATATCCAATAGTTCCTCTCATTGTAGTCATAGCACGGCTAAATTCTCTCCCCAAAATCTTCGCCATTCCAAAATCTGCAATTTTAGGCACATAAGATGCATCCAGAAGTATATTCTCTGGCTTGATGTCACAATGTATGATGCAATCCCGACAACTAGTATGCAAGTAGGCAAGGCCTCTGGCAACTCCAATAGCTATTTGATATCTAGTTGTCCAATCCAAAACTATATCATTAGCCTTGAATAAACACACATCAAGGGAGCAGTTTGGCATGTATTCATACACAAGTAACCTATTATCACCTTCGCAACAAAACCCGACCAATTTAACTAAGTTAATATGCTGGATGATTCCAATTGAATTCACTTCAGCCCTGAATTGTTTCTCTCCCTGACGGGCTCCATCGAGCCTTTTCACTGCTATGGTAGAGTCGCTTAGGTTCCCTTTAAATACAGAACCAAAACTTCCTCCCCCCAATTTCTCTGAAAAGTTTTTAGTTGCACGTCGCAAATCAATATGTCGAAATGCAATGATCCCAATGCTATCCTCAGACTTTTCCAGTGGGTGAGCAATAATCCATTTCCCTTTTATCCTCCATAGTATCAGTAGAAGGGTAATAAGAAACAAAGTGCCTGTGCTTGCACCAATGGCAACACCAATTAATGTTCCACTCTTCTTCCTTTCTGAAATTTGCAATTCTTTTGCAGCAAGGCGAACGTAAAGGACTACCCCATTTCCATCAGAAGCAGCATCCAACAGTTGCTTTACATTATACAACTCATCATGCCAAATGGAGCAGCCATCTTCCCCATAGGAATATGCAGTACAGGAACAGTTGCTCAAGCAAACCTGTGAGCATTGATCTCCACTGGTAGCAGCCTGCACATTTTCGGCGTTGTTAGGCAACCTAATGCTTTGCATAGGGTAGAACTTATCTGTGAGGTCTGACCTGTCCTTGCTACTGCCACAACTTAACGGAGTATTCCTCATGCACCCTCCTGTTCGATCATCAAGCTCCCAATCCTTCGGTGATTTTACAGAGAAGCCCTTCATACAGTCGCAGAATGGGTTGTTATTCGGATCCTTTTTGTCGTCGCAGATTGTGAAAGGTCCACAGATTGCAAACACATCACAATGAACTATCGGCTGCCTGTAATGTATCAGCCAGTCTTGTGACCCTTCCAGCCACGTACCCGCGAAACCTCTCCCGAAGACATCTATTCCAGTGTGCACGATCGCTGTGTCATCACGCAAGGTGTATGTGAAGTAAGCCTCTTGGTCATTGTAAACAAATGTGAAATTTGGCAATGCAACTCCAATCATCTCTGGTGCTAAGCCAAAGTATCGGCCATTCCAGTCCCCGCTGGACTTATATGGCACAGTTGAGTTCCATAGCAGATGCCCATCCCCATTGAGCCCCACCTCCAATGAGTACATACCTGGGGCCTGGTCAATCGAATTCTTCCTAGAAACAATACGGCGGTTCAGGCCGGTGACCTTGTCCCAGCCAATCTTCGCACCGGCGAAAAGCGTATCTGTTGGGTAGTCGAAGCTCTGCCAAAAGATCTTGGACGAGTTTGAGGAGCTTCGTAGGACAAGGTTGCCATTGTTCAGAAGCACGGCAATGGTGTCATTGGTTGTGATGTTGGCACGGGTAGACCATATGATGGATTTGGTGGCATGATCCAGGATGGCCAGGTTTCCATCACCAGAGATCGTGAGCTCCGGTGAAGTGGGGTCCACCACTGGGTTATCGCCGTTGGCGGTCCACAGCAGGGTAAGTTTGGGGACCTTGTTGAACCATATGCCAAGGTAAGAGTTGTGGTTGTTGTAGGACTCATTACCTGGCTTCAAGAAGCCGAGAGCAAACTTGCTGTTGTTGGAGACAAGCCTGTTGCTGCCGGCAAGTGCTTGGCTGGGTGACACGGTATCTGTCGCGGCGGAGCTCGCCAGAGTGTGCAGGAAGAGGAGTACGATGCCAAGAAGGACATGACGAAGGAGAGGCATGTGGAAGCAGATGATGAACAAGGGAAGGAGAAGTGGAGAACTGAAGGAGGAATGGTATTGAAGCTAGCTCACACACAGTACGATTCTGCAAGCCGGTTCTGTTGTTGTTTAGAAATCAGACCAGCGATTAGTTCAGCTCGCAGATTGGCAAGTTAACGTGGTGGTGTGGGCACTTTGTCTCAATCACTAAGTCCATGTCAACTGACGACATCGTGTTTAGCCTGAAACAAACCTCGAGAAGTATGATAAGCTATCTGAATAATAATCTTCTCATGTTGGTCAAACCTCAACGCTGGAGCGTTTGGACTGAGAAATGATCCCTGCCAACTATTTCAGACAGAAAAGGTTGTTTTATGCCTCTGCCATCAACACGCAGGTTAGTAGGTATATTATTTTAAGTGAACTCCTTTTAAAACATTGCAAAACACTGGAAGTTCTTTCCTCACACCAATGCAGTGGATTTACTTTGTTCCAATTTTTTTTCTTGACCAAGAAATGGTTTCAGGTCCAAATGAAAACTTCAGTTAGGAGACAGAATTTTTAGTCTAGTTTCCAGTATGATCAAATCCGACATTCCTTCTCCAAAAGCAAATCGGTCTGATTTTAAGCACAGACCATGACCGAGGGATGTAAGATGCAAGAATTTCTGAAACGAAGCAAGCATAGGAATTGATTGACCTTGTACGCCTGATGAGTCAGGAGCCACCCAACGAGTCTGACATGTTTCGGTTGGGCTTCAGATTGCCAGAGAACATTGAATTTGTTGTAACTTGATTGTGCCTTGAAATCGCATGTTGTATTTGTACGTCTTGCAGAGTATTATTCCCCATTTGGCTGATCGATCCCCTCCAAATAATGTCATCAGGTTCATTTGTATATTGAGGAGGACTTGTTGGAGCATATATTTCTCAGGGTGTGCGGCTGTACGCCTGTAGTATGTGTTTGCTGAGAAAAGGGCGTGAAAGGGAACAGAACTGTGGCTGGGGCTTGCAGACAAGCGTGTTGAAAACCGATCAGTGGGACACCGGAATTAATGGAGGCAAAAACGAAAAAAATGGTTAGCACATTGACTTTGGCCTTTAGAGCATCCCAGCAGTTCCGGCATCCCATCTTCCATCCAGGAAATGGCGTATGGGGGGAGAAAATCCGGCTCCAACGGATACGCCATATGGGCCTCCATAGATGGCGCATGCGCTATTCCCGGAGAGAGAAACGCTAGATTTGGTGTTTCTCTCTCCTCACGCCATCCCGCAACCACCGCTGCCATTTGTTCTCCCGTCCCCATCCGGATCGAGATCGAGGAAGAGGTGAAGCAGTGAAGGTAGATCGAGTGAAGGTACCTTCGGCCGCGTCGCCTTTCCGCTGCCGCCGCCACTTTGTCCGGCTGTCGGCGAGCCGTTCGCGCGCCCCTCCGCTCCGGCTGGCGGCGAGCCCCCCGCGCCGCCCCTCCGATCCGGCCGGCGGCGAGCCGCTCGCGCTGACCCTTCGCCTGCGCCGACCCTCCGCTCCGGCCGGCGGCGAGCCGCTCGTGTCGCCCCTCCGCTCCTCCGCCAGCTCGTGTCTCTCGAGCTCTCTGGAGTGAGAGAAGGGAGTGAAAGAGAAGATAATGATGAAAAAAGAAAAAAATAATATTAATTGATGGTAGTTGAAGGATACTATTAATATATAGGAGGATGTGATATAGATGATGTAATATGGATGATCTGTTGGAGTGGGGAGAAATATGGGGAGAAATATGAAGGAGGAATCTTTTTTGGATGACCATCTATATAGCCATATGGATGATCAAATTTGGACGAGCTGCTGGGGATGCTCTTAAGGGCCCTTTGAATCGTAGGATTGAGAAAACGTAGGAATAGGAAAAACACAGGAATGACCGTTTGATTGAACCACAGGAAAAATATAGGAATTGGATGAGAGAGATAGACTTAAAGGAAAGTTAGCAAGAGGTTGAAGCTCTTGCTAAATTTCCTCCAAAATCTCTATAGGATTGTCCATTCCATAGGAATTTCAAAGGATTGGATAGTATTCAATCCTTTGTTTCAAAAGGCTTCATAGAAAATTTTCCTATAGGATTGAAATCCTCTAAGGGCCCCTTTGAATCGCAGGAAGGTAAAAACGGAGGAATAGGAAAAACGTAGGATTCTGACAGGAATGCAGGTGTAAAACAAAGGATTGAAAAACATAGGAATGATCGTTTGATTGAACCAAAGGAAAAACGCAGGATTCGGATGAGAGAGATAGGCTCAAAGGAATTTTTCCAAGAGGTTGGACCTCTTGCTAACTTTCCTACAAAATCTCTCTATGATTACCCATTCCATAGGAATTTTAAAGGATATTATAGGATTCAATCCTTTGTTTCAAATGTTTTCATAGGAATTTTTTCCATTAGATTGAAATCCTTCAAATTTCCTAAACTTTTCCTACGAATCAAAGGGGCCCTAAAATTCCTATGTTTTTCCTCCAAATCAAAGGGGCCCTAGCTATGTTATCATGTGAAAATCGTTGCGTAATCATGGGTGCTCGAAGGCCACCAAATTTCCTTGATCACCATGTGTAACAGAAGTGCTTGCTAATGATTTCAGCCTGTCGTTGAGTATTTTATCCAGTTTGACCTTTCTCCGCGCGATAATCGGTTCAAGTGGCCCTGTTATTTTCTGATTATAAGATTTAGATTTTATCTCAGTTTCTGTTAGCACGCCTTTTTAACTATTAAAGGGAGCATTTCATGAAAAACTTTCTTATAAAAAAGTTGTTTTAAAATATTAAATACATTTATTTATAAGTTTATAATAATTAAAACTTAATTAATTATGTGCTAATAACTTTCCCATTTTACGCACATCTACTTAATCTACATACCTCATATTACTGATGGAACGCTCGTGATTTCCACAGAGAGGGCGCATCGCTGGGCTGGGCTGGGCTGCACTGATGCAGCCACTGCAACAAGGAATAAGTTCACTTGGTGACCCTCAAAAGTAATTGAAATCTAATCCATGACCCTAAACCACAAAACCGAATATCTTACCTCTAAACTATGGAACCGGTGCAATTTGACTCCCTCAACGGTTTTGGAGGACGGTTTCGCTGACGTGGCAGTATTGACCGGGTCTCCTTTACACGTGACGTTGACGTGGTGTTTAGGTGGCATTTAGAATTAAAAAATATGTGTGGGACCCATTTGTCATTGACACAGAAAATAGATTGTAGGACCCATGTGTCCCTTTTTTCTCCCCCTCCCTCAGTTCCTTCTCTCTCCTCGCCGCTCCCTCTCTCTCCCGCGGCGGGTGGAGACGGCGGCGCCCGGGCTGAGCTGCACTGCGGC